GGGCATGGGACGGATGGTATTGAAAATGGGCGAAATCGGACAATAACCACGCCTACCTCCCATATAACGGTAATTTTCAGAAATACGAAAAGTGCGATATTTTAGTAACTACTGAAGATAATTCACTCAAAATTGATATTTGCAATGAGTTCTAGACGAAAAATAAGAATATTAAAAAATTTTGGCAAATGGGCGTAGCCACGCCTACTTATGGTTACATGTGTATATCTTGCTAACCGCTGCACCAATTTCTTCCAAACTTGGCACAGTTGTTGGTCCTGCTACAACATACCAAATGGCCGAAAATTTTTAAAATCGGACAATAACCACGCCCACATCCCATATAATGGTAATTTAGAAAAATACGAAATCCTCGATAAATCAGTAAATATTAAAGCTAATTTATTCAAAATAGATGGTGGCAACAATTTTTTACCAAGAAATACGCTTATGATACAATTTTGGAAAATGGGCGTGGCACCGCCCACTTATGATCACATATATGTATCTCGCTAACCGTTCTAGCAATTTGTACCAAGCTCGGTATGGTTATTGTGCTTGCCACATAAAAGCAAACCGTTGAAAATTATTGAAATCGGACTAAATTACGACCGCTTTTCATATAACGGTATATTTCAGAAATGCTTGAAACTGCAATATTTCGAAATTTAAGCACGCTAATTTACTTAAAATTTATACACCCCGGCTTATTGTGTAGCGGTAGTTTTCGGAAAGGTGGAAAAACATATATTTAATAATTGCGCCGGGTATTTAATGTTCGGCTCCGCCCGAACTTAGACTTTCTTACTTGTTTGTTAATACGGTTCTTTCATTGGTATAAACAAGGTATATATGGAAATAAAAAACGCCAAACCAACATTTTATTTCAAATAATGTTTTTTTTTTTTTATATTTGTTTCCGTGAAGAGCTTACGCATGGCTATGCTCTTATTAAAATACTTGCTGGCGGCATATAATTTATTTTATAACGAATTTCTGTTTCTTTTTAGTGGATAAATTACCTTTACAAAAATACCAAACACGTCCACATTGCAGACAACGAATTTTTCGATTTTTGATCACTTAGGCGGCACTGTGCGGGGGTTGTATTGAGTCCAGTTATTTTTACCCTATCGAAGAGCCTCGAAATGAAAACAGCAGTGTCTTGGTTTACACAACTAACTAAATGAAAATAAAATTTTCTGCAGGCATTTCGGGGGAATTTGAACCGCCAAAACCCTTACCTGCGTTCGCCCCTGGCGTAGGTACTTAGTTATGTGTACACTATGTATATAAATATGTATGTATCAGTTTATGGAAATTACAGCTAAGGAGCCGGGACATGCTTAAAGTATGTACATAGATACAAAATGCAAATAAGGAAATTAGATGATAAAAACTGACAAATTTAAACTATATGAGAAATCTGTTAGACTCTACTATTATACTCGTATGTTCTTGGCTTGTAATTATTATTGTTTGTTATACTATAAAAGAATAGACATCTTATTATACTAACTATAAAATCTTAGAAATAAATGAGATGTTTGTTGGTACATACATACATACCAGGGTTGTTGCGAATATTCGCGTTCGCATTCGCAACCGCGGAGCTTCCGCATTAATTTTAACATTCGCATTCGCATTAATCAATGCGGATCTTTTGCGAATGCGAATATTGAAGGGGCCGAAAATAACAGTTATTTTTTACGAGTTAAACTTGGCCAAATATTTTTTATTCACAACTAAAAGTCCTTTCCGGATAATAATCAAACCGCTTATCCAAATTAAACAAGTTTGGTATCAAATGAAAGAGGACTTAAATAGCTTTAAAACTGAAATATCTAAACGAGGAAAGCCGCACATTGAAAAATATTTCAATAAAAAATTTTAATTAATTACCATAGAACAAACAGGTATATGAATTTCTTTAGTATTAAACGGTATAAAAAAATATAAATAGAGGTGGTAACCTTCGCTCGTTATTTCTGTTTAAAAGCTATTTGAGTCCCCTTTCACATGATATTAAATTTGTTTAATTTTGATAAGCTGTTTGTTTATTATCCAGAAAAAACTTTTATTTCGGAATAAAAAATATTAGGCCAAGTTCAACTGGTAAAAAATAGCTGCTATTTTCCGACCCTGGAATATTGTGCAAGTGCACTGATAAAACGTATATCTGGCCAGTCACAAGAAAGGATTAAAAATGAATTACAAAAACTAAAATCGAAAAACGCTGTTGACGTTACAGGTTCTCCAAATTCAGAAACAACCAAAAGAATGAGAATGAAGAATTCTTTGGAAAGCAACGGTGCTTAAACAACGATCTTGCCATGATACTAAATTGTGAAGATGAAAGTCAGGAGGATACATTCGACATTTGCAGCCCGATGCAATTATCAAAAAAGAATTATTGCAATAAAAAAAAAAAACAATAAATATAACTGAAAGTCCTCTCGACTGGTACAGCTTCAATCGAAAAGAATTTACAATTTTGTCAAGTTTCAAGTTTTTTAAGTTTGTTAAATTCAAGTATTAAAAAAAACATTATTAAAAATTACTAATATTTACATTTTTTATTTAACTAAATATCCTAATTTACTCGCCTAAACTATTTCTTAAGTAAAAAAGTCTAAGTTCGGGCGGAGCCGAACATTAAATACCCGGCGCAAGTATTCAATAGTTGCGATCACGTACGAGTCCGGACTAGTCAGAAATAGTCAGAATCAGTCAGATTTTACAGGAAATCGATCCCGTACTCGGTTCTCTGACTATTGAGAGGACAAAAAAGAGAGTAAATATGGTTCTCTCTCTGTCATAAGTTACCAGTTTTAGTCCTAGAATTTTTGGCTGGTAAATTCTGGTAAATGTGTCAAACGATCAGCTGTAGTGTGTTTGGCAACCAAATTGTAAACAAAAGAAAAGTTCAATCTGCTAATTCATGTTGAAAAGTATTTAATTAATTGTTTAAGTGGATTCTAATGAATTTGAAAGTATTTTTGGTTATTTACATGTGTGAGATGAGTGTGTTTACATACAAAATAAGCAAAAATTTACAACCAAAATTTGGAGGTTATGTTGAAGTTGACAGAAGTTACCATTTTTTACTAGAAAGCGATCCCGTACTTTTCAATGTTACTCTCTCGCTCTGAGCGAATTTTTATTTTTTGACAGTTTTACTAGTCCGAGTCCGAGGAATACGGGATTGCACCTAATATAGTCTTTTCACCTTTCCGAAAACTACCGCTACATGGTAAGCAAGGGTGGGGTTACCACTATTTCAAACATCTTCGATAGAACGTTCAGTTAGATATAATAAGATAAACTTATATAGATATATGTCGGCGGCATCATGCACATTTTCCGAAATTCAATATTAATGTTACTTCTTTTCAAGGGATTGTTTGGGTAAAATTAGCGTCCTTAAATTTCGAAATATCGAAGTTTCAAGCATTTCTGAAATTTACCGTTATAAAAAAGTGGGCGTAATTTTAGTCCGATTTCGATAACTTTCAACGTTTTGCCTTTATGTGGCAACCACAATAATCATACCGAGTTTGGTACACATTGATCGAACGGTTACCCAGATACACATATGTGATTATAAGTGGGTGGGGTCACGCCCATTTTCCAACATTTTATTATAAGCGTATTTTTTGCTAAAGAGTTATTGCAAACATCAATCTTGAATAAATTTGCTCCAGTATTTACTGATTTATCGAAGCTTTCGTATTTCTCTAAATTACCGTTATATGGGATGTGGGCATGGTTATTATCCGATTTTTTAAATTTTCAGCCGTTTGGTATGTTTTGTGAAGGCCAAAAACTGTGACAAGTTTGGGAGAAATTGGCGAAGCGGTTCCCAAGGTATATACATGTAATCATAAGTTGGCGTGGCTACGCCCATTTTCCAAAAATTTATAATATTCTTATTTTGCGCCTAAAAATGATTGTGAATATCAATTATGAGTGAATAAGCTTCAGTAGTTACTAAAATATCGCAGTTTTCGTATTTATGAAAACTGCCGTTGTATGGGAGGTAGGCCTATTTTCAATACCATCCGTCCTACGCTCAAAAGAAGTACACATACCAAGTTTATTTAAGATATCTCAATTTGTACTCGAGTTATCGTGTGCACAGACGGACGGACGGACGGACAGACAGTCACCGCTTAATCGATTTCTCCTTTCATTCTGATCATTTATGTATACATTTGTCTATATCTATTTCGATTCGTTTTGCCTGTTACAAACAACCGTTATGGGAACAAAGTTATAATACTCTTGTGCACAAGTGCGCTCAGGTATAAAAATACTTGACATCCGCATCCGCGGATGTTAGCGTTTAAACATCCGCATGCGCGGATGTTAGCTTTTAAACATCCGCATTCGCATCCGCGGATGTCTAAAATTCCACATTCCACATCATACATATCTATATATGTACATATATAATTATGCCATGAGTGGAGCTGTAATGAAATGCCGTTGCCAAGTTTATAAGAAGTATACTTTTTGCTGCAAATTACAATAAATCTTTCTTTAGGTTTATAAATAAATAAACTGCGAACAATATTCTTTCATAGTAGTGATGTAAAGCTATCGATGGTTATCTATAAAAACCTGAAATAATACTTTAATTATTTGTAAATAAACTGTTACAAAGGTAAGATTACTCAAATATTTTGTTCGCGGTAAAATTTTTTCTCGACCGAAATTCTCTTTTGCCTATGGTATGTAAAAATTTTTTATAGTACTATCGATAGTATGGAATATTTTACACTATCGGTATCGAAACTACTGTCGAATAAACTATTACACAGACTTAAATTTTGAGTTAATGCACTATTTCAGAAGATTTCGTATTCTTTTATTTATTTTACTACTCCCGGAAGCACATATGTAAATAATGAAAGCATTACGTACATACTTATATGTACACAAATACCTAAATACGTACATATGTATGTACATATAGCACAAATTGAAACCACTCTCACCGAATTTCCTTGATAACATCAAAGCGTGTGCCGTCCTGATCGGCGCGATGTTCATTGTTTGGGTTTTGGCTCTGCATAATGCTGTTCATTTGAGCCACGGTTAAGTTGAACCTAGCCAGGATTGTACGATTGTTGCGGTCGACAATTTCGGTGCGTACGGTAGCATCCTCATCAATTGATAAGGGGCCCCGCTTCAATAAATGTCCATTAGCCGGCGCCAAAATCGAAGCTAAAATGCCGAGCACGATGCACATGAACAATTTAGAACATTTTGTATATTTAACTAAATAATTAAAAAGCGACATCGTTCAGTTTTTTTCTTACTTTTTATGCAATTATTTTCACTTCTTTAGTAAAAAAAAATATTTTTTATAAGCAATTAATAAGACATTCTCTATCTGCTATGTAAAATCACGTTTATTATAAAGTAGTATTTTATTTACTGCAGATTCGTTATTTTTCCAAGTGCTAATGCTAGATTGCTAATTTGATTGTTTATTTGTCAGATCATTTCAACTTCACTGTAATACGAACACTACATATCAGCGCGCGCAACGAAGAAATTGTCTTTGAATTTTTTGAATGGTTAGCTTGTATTCCTTCCGAATTCGGATGTCTTCACTCTAAGAACACCAAGTATGAAGTGATTTGCGCGAGGCGCTTCATGTCTTAAATAACATTTCACATATATCAGATACAATATTTGGTTTGCGTTTGGTATACTTCGCATACGAAATGTTGTTGTGTATATCGTTTCGTAAATGCTTGCTCCCTACTACTACGCTGTGCGATGTTAACGCAACGATACACCGGAAAAATACTCGCAACTTTTGTTTGGTGCCTTTTGCATACGCTTTCGAGCAGGGACGCCAATCATTTTAAATAAAAGAATTTAAATCAGCATTGAATCGTTATTTAAAGCCTTTTATTTATTTGCGCTAAAAAATGAAGATTATTATTCAGTTTTCCACTCAAATAGATTTTTGGCTTTTCGATAAAAAAAAAAATATTATTTTATGATTTATTTTTGGAGTTTGGTTTTTTCACATAAAAATAATGATCATTCATAAAACTTAAAAGGTCTTAAAGACGCGACCAAAGAAAAATTTTGAGGCTTTTACTTTTATTAATCTTATTGATAATATTTATTATATTTAAGCGAAAAAATAAAAATTCAAAATACGAGGAACACTAAATAAGTGTTTAGATTTCAGAACACTATCTAATGCCATCTGAGTCGATCTCGCTCTCGTCTTTAAACAAAATAAATTAAAAAAAAACTTTTTAATATACTACGCTTTTATAAATGGACTAAAAAATAGAAAATCATATTTCTCAGTCCCATAGAATTAGTTTTGATATTTTTTGATATTGAAATTTTAGCAGTCATTATAAACCATTTATGAGATTGAAAACGAAAAACGTGGACCGCATGCAATACAAAGCATTAGATTTAATTGACAATAGTCAAACTACATAACATAGACCTAAAATTTCTACGGAGAAAGTATAAATTTGAGCTCGATTTTAAGCGGTCGTTATTCATATACAGTGTGACCAGATGAACGCAAAATGCGAAGCTAAATTCGTTTTTAAAAAAGGTTAGAAAAAGCTATACGCTATGAAAATTTAAGTTAAAAAGAAGTCAGTATATTAATTCTTTAAAAACTCGATATGTTCCGAAAATCCGATTTTCTGTAAATAACTTCATAAGTAATTCTCATTAAAACACAGAATACATAACTTCAAAATATGCAAAAAGAAGTTTGGGATAAGAAAAATGCAAAAATTTTAATATTCTATACGTCATAGTAAACAAGTAGTACGCCAAAAATCAAATTGCAGAAATACGGCTTAAAGCAAAATTCTTAGTATTATTTTTTAAAAAGCTAAGAAAGTATTTCTCAAAGAAGTTTTATTGTACGATTTCAACGACAACTAAAAGTTTTTAAAATATTAAAGCTTTTTAGGAAGCTTTGGTACTTATTTATACAGTATAGGTTCGAAAATTGTATTATGAATATTTTAATTTAAAAAATGCCAGAAAAAAACCACGAAATCAGATCTGAATTTCTGATGCTATGGCATAAAATTTAATGCCTCGAAAAGGCTAACCTGGTCACACTGTTCATATATCCACATTCATACATATATTACACTTCATATCAATTCAGGTCTATTACATGCGCCCCACGCTTTTCATTTTCAATCTCATAAATGGTTTATAATGACTTTTGCTAAAATTTCAAAATCAAAAGTTATCAAAACAAATTCTAGGGGACTGAGAAATATTATTTTCTATTTTTTAGTCCGTTTGTAAAAGCGTTGTATATCAAAAAGTTTTTTATTTTTTATTTTATTTATTTTCTACTTTTTAGTCTTGTCTGTATAAAATTTGCAATACATGGATATTAAAATAATTCAACTTGCAGTGAAAAGAGAACAGAAGCAAAGCAAAATGTTGTTTGCTCACGTTTAGTGTAAACATACATATTAGGCTGGGTCGATTTTGTATGGGGGAAATAGAAGGCATTTTGCCGTATTGTAATAGTAATATTATGATGTCTTAGGTCGGAGCCAATTGTTATTCGCCACGAAAGATTAATTTAAAACTTATCTTTAGCCCGCGCATTTGAATCAAAGTGTATGAATTTTGAAAATGAAACTTTGGCTTGTAATATCTATGGAATGTGTTAATTGCTACAAACAGGACGATATATCAAATTCATTTATAATTTTTCAATAAGTCTAAAAGTTTTAAAGATATTAAGATAAAACTTACAAAACCGACAATTTTCCCTTATGAGTTTTCAATTCTTCAGTACTTCAGCAACCAAGTGAAAAATGTAAAAAAGTGAGACGAGATTTCTTTCAAACGTTTTAATGTTTTCGGATGTTTATATAATATTAAAAGGACCCAAGTTCACGCCGATTTGGTCAGTTTTCAAGTTCGTGGTGAATGAAGTCAAACATGTATTGTCAAAGATTAGGAATCGTTTGATAAGTTAATAGTAGTTTCAAGCATATAAGTAATTATATACATTAACATAATACAATTAGGGTGAGAGACACCCATTTTAAGTCCATTTATGCAGCCTTGAAAATTGGTGGAATGGTTTAATTAGTCACCAAAGAAGCACATTTTTCGCGGTTTCTTAATTTGCCATTATGTGAAAGTAGGGGAAGTGCAGTTATTGTTTAGATATACATAAATATTTTAATTAATTCCATTATGTGAAAAAGTGACTGTAGGTAAATGCAATAGTCCTTAACATATCCTGGGAAATCCTTTTGAGGACTCTCCAATTGGACGATATTGCTTTGCATTCAGCTTGAACGAAAAAAGTCAGTCCCTGCACACTTTTCTGTAATCCGGTTCTTTCATTTAAAGGTTATTTATACAACTGAAGAGACATTTTTTCAGAAAAAAACTGGAGATCCACTTAATTTTTTGATATAACTTTGGTAAACGTTACTCGATCGGTACGTAATAATTACAAAATTGAAGGCGAGACTTACGGTTACTGATTTCTTATAATAATATGATGAAAATCGTTCATATTATAAACAAATGATTTTAAAATAAAAAATAAATGTTGAAAAGAATTTTTTGTAATTTTCCTATATTTGCAATTTTTATATTGTATGCATAAACATAAGTAAACTTATTAGTGTTTCTAGAAGTTTTGCCTGTTCAGTGTTTCCATACTCATTTACATAAATAAAATTTTTTCGCGATGATGGAAAATAATGCCTTTTCTATTAGAGCTATCGAAATTGTTCCTAAATTTGCAAAAATTCGCAGATTTTAGCTCACATTTATTAAAAAAGATTAGAATATTTGGAACCAGCGACCTAAATGCACACCAGCAATATTAATGCTGTTCTTTACATCTTTTGACTGTAGGCCAGTGCAATTATCAAGAGAAGAATTAAAATTTTATTGAAAACAGATAACTTTGAGATTAACGATTAGCTAAAGGGCTGCGAAAAATGATATTTGACTGTATCTTATGCGTTAACGGATTCGTTATCTAATAATATGCCCCAAACCTTTTTCCTGAACCCAGAATTTTTAACAAGAATTGGTCTTATTCAACCAGTGTGCTGTGAGTCACTTGGCGGTCGATGCGCGGGCTCTTACAATTAAAATAAAATACTAATATTTTGCAGGCTTTTTGTTGACTTCATGATACAATATATTTTCACTATTACCAACGGATTTGAGAAAAATTAGATTTTCGACCCGCCCTAATACATATGTACATACATACATACTAGGGTTGTTGCGAATATTCGCGTTCGCATTCGCAACCGCGGAGCTTCCGCATTAATTTTAACATTCGCATTCGCTTTCGCATTAATCAATGCGGATCTTTTGCGAATGCAAATATAGAAGGAGCCGAAAATAACAGTTATTTTTTACGAGTTAAACTTGGTCAAATGTTTTTTATTCACAACTAAAAGTCCTTTCCGGATAATAATCAAACCGCTTATCCAAATTAAACAAGTTTGGTATCAAATGAAAGAGGACTTAAATAGCTTTAAAACTGAAATATCTAAACGAGGAAAGCCCCACATTGAAAAATATTTCAATAAAAAATTTTAAATAATTACCATAGAACAAACAGGTATATGAATTTGTTTAATATTAAACGATATAAAAAAAATATAAATAGAGGTGGTAACCTTCGCTCGTTATTTCTGTTTAAAAGCTATTTGAGTCCCTTTTCACATGATATTAAACCTGTTTAATTTTGATAAGCTGTTTGTTTATTATCCAGAAAAAACTTTTATTTCGGAATAAAAAATATTAGGCCAAGTTTAACTGGTAAAAAATAACTGCTATTTTCGGTCCCTGGAATATTGTGCAAGTGCACTGATAAAACGTATATCTGGCCAGTCCAAAGAAAGGATTAAAAATGAATTACAAAAACTAAAATCGAAAAACGCTGTTGACGTTACAGGTTCTCCAAATTCAGAAACAACCAAAAAAATGAGAATGAAGAATTCTTTGGAAAGCAACGGTGCTTAAACAACGATCTTGCCATGATACTAGATTGTGAAGATGAAAGTCAGGAGGATACATCCGACATTTGCAGCCCGATGCAATTCTCAAAAAAGAATTATTGCAATAAAAAAAAAACAATAAATATAACTGAAAGTCCTCTCAACTGGTGCAGCGTCAATCGAAAAGAATTTACAATTTTGTCAAGTTTCAAGTTTTTTCAGTTTGTTATTTAGTGGCCCTGATTTAAAAACTTTTTATTGGATACAATCATTAGCGCACACAAGGGGTGGGTTTTGGGGTTCAAACCCCCCCTAAAGCTAATAACCTCAAATACAAACTGTATCTTAAAGCTAAGAATCCAGCTCTCAAGGAAATTATAAGAAATATTTATTATAATTTCTGTTGCTTGAAAAAGCGCTTTGCTTTTGCTGTCAATTTTCATGAGGAAATGAATATACGAGCATTTTTTCTTGAGAGCTGCAAACTGATTTAAGAAATTTTGGTATAAAATTTCTTTTCCATTTCTCGTCCGTCGTTTTATATGAATTTTTCTTGAGAGTTCAGTTAATTTTTTCGGTATTCTAAATATTAAAAAAATTTAGAAATCGTGAAAAATCACAATTTTTATCGAAAGCCAAAAACCAGAAATCGAAAAAAGGAACATAAAAGAGCAAAAATTCATGGAATCAATAAATTTATTTTTACTGAGCCT